CCATCCGGGCTGGGCTGGGGAGGAGTCTGCAACCAAAGTACATGCCTTGACTGGAACTGAAGCAGGGACCCTTCAGTCTGCTGGTTGACACTCTATCAACTGAGCCAAACCTGCTAGGAGTAGATTCTTTAAATTTATATGTTATTTGCTGTGTTCTCCGTTCCGGTAACTACATCTACAAATTTGTTTCCAGTTTAGACCACATTTTGTTTGACATCATTTTAAATCTCATTATGCTTCCCACAAATGAAGACTATTTTATGAGATAGGTTCTATAAGAGAAATTGATTGAGGTAGTTATGAAATAATAACACCTTTAGGTGGGATTTTTTTTCCATTTTTGTTCTTTTGTTAGGGGCAGGAATAGAATATTAGGGACTAGCTATAATTATAAGAAATATTACTAGTAATGGTGCTCTATTAACCATGATTGCTCTGTTTTGATTAGAGAAAGCACATTCTAATCTGTTTGAGAGTTGTACACCCTGGGGCATGGGAGCTAACATGGGAATGCAGCTCCCAATGGCCTAGATTAACAAACTTGTTGCCTGTAAGCTGGTCCCTGAGTCATGCAACCCCCGCCCGAATTGCATGTAACCTGTAACCACTGTACCTTGCCTACTTTCCCATGTGTGTAATTTCTACTTTCCCATGGAATCTGTGTCTTTCTACCCAAGATAAGAAGCTGGCTTATGGGGAGAGTAGAGCAGATGTTTGTGGATGACCTGCTGCTCTCCCATTCTGCTCACATTAATGGAATAAACGCCATATATGAGTCAACCCAGTGTCTGCTACATTGGTTCAAGTAGTAACCAGCAGCCTGGACCCATTGGTTGTCCGGTTTCACTTTAAGTAATTTTATAACAGTTATTGGAACTGGATAATTAATAAAAATGCCAATCAGTACTTTTTTTCTTCTAACATAAGTCCAAATATTGCATTTACTTAAAATTTTTAAAATTTCTTTTAAATTAAGAATTAATTTTTTAATTAACCCAAGTAAAACCATTACTAGTTTAGAAAATAATTAAAACACTCTTTGTGCATTGATTGACAGCCTAAAGGTTTAAATTCTGTTTCGAGGACACCTGCATATTTGTTCTCTAAATGTCTATCTTGCTTGTGCTAATTTAATACTCCTTGCACAGAAAGTTATGTACAATATCTTTTTGATAAAATATTTTCCAGTCCGGCCGGCGTAGCTCAATGATTGAGCGTCAAACTATGAAGTAGGAGATCATGGTTCCATTCCCTGTCATGGCACATGTGTGGGTTGGGGGCTCGGTTCCCATTATGGGGCATGCAGGAGGCAGCCGATCGATGATTCTCTCATCATTGATGCTCCTATCTCTCCCTCCGTCTCCTTTCCCCTCTGAACTCAATAAAGATATATTTTTAAAAGTAAGTAAATAAAGTATTTTCCAAATATACAACTTTACTTTGTTCATTTTTCTTATAAACTACACATTAGTGAATGGTCTGTCGAATTGTGTTTTAGGCAGTTGACTGGTGGAGTTCAGGTGTTCTAATGTATGAACTATTCACAGTTGATGGGGAGAAGAATTTCGGAGGTGAGCCCTCTAGGTAAGACTCCACAAAATAAAATGAATGTGTTGTTACCAAATTAGAATTAAGTGGTTAATTTTAATTGATATAGGGTATATATAGTTATACCTTTATGTTTCTTTATGTTTTATATGCCCAGATAGATGTTAAGTTTCATAGGGAGAGTGTTCTAATTTTTGTGTGTTCCAAAGCAGTTAGCATGGGGCATGAGCTGCTGGCAGAGCCATTTAGAATGCGGGCCATGGGGCCGTTTGGAATGGGTGGCATAGAAACAGTGGAATGTTTGGTGCAGAGTCGGTGGGCGTGGAGTCGGTGGGTGCGGAGTTGGTTGTGTGTGGAGTCGGTGGGTGCGGAGTCGGTTGTGTGTGGAGTCGGTGGGTGCGGAGTCGGTGTGTGAAGAGTCGGTGGACGTAGAGTCGGTGAACGTAGAGTCGGTGAGCGCGGAGTCGGTAAGTGCAGAGCCTTTTCATGTGTAGGAAGGGACTGTGCCTGCCTCCCACTCAGGGCTGTTGTGAAGAGTGAATGTGCAAGGGCAGAGGGCACCTAGTGCAGGGCCGGGGATGGGCAGAGAGACGGTGCCCACGTGACTCCAGAGTCTGAGCAAACCCTTCCCGCCACCAGGCTTTGATCAGAACTGTGTCCACTGATGGGAGGTCCAGGGCTTCCCTTCTACAAGAATCTTGGGTTCTGGGCCCTGTGGGGAAAATGAACACAAGATGGAAAAGCAGCAGCTACCGCCCACTCCCAGTTGTTAGAACCCATGAGTGGAGCCAGCCTTGGAAAACTGCCCACCGAGAGAAACGGTCACATCCCATGTATGTGTGTTCCCAGACTGTGAAGGCACTTGGGGGAGATTCAGCCCCCTAAGACACCGAGTGATTCTGGGAGGCTCCTGGGGCAGGAGCAGAGATGAGGGGAAAGAGCTGAACGGCTCCCCCGTGTGTGCTGGGCCCTGGGACAGGAGTAAGTCCAGCAGACTCCTCCCATGAGGGGGCCTGTGAGGGCCCAGCCATGGCGTCCCACACCCAGAATGTGCCTGACACCCAGAGGCCCATAGTATTGTTTGTTGTGCCTTAGCCCTCATTTCCAGATAGGAACTGCGTGTTGAACAAAAGCTCACCCATAGCCATTTATTTCCAGGACCCAGATCAGTGAAGTGACTGTGGGATTGAGTGTGCTGGGCCCTGGGACAGGAGTAAGTCCAGCAGACTCCTCCCATGAGGGGGCCTGTGAGGGCCCAGCCATGGCGTCCCACACCCAGAATGTGCCTGACACCCAGGGGTTCCTAAAGGTGTGGACGGAGTCGGTGAAGAAGGAATGACATGGAGACAGCGTTCAGTTGATCAGCAGCCTTGCCAGGTTCTCTAGCCAGGTTCTAGCCCAGTACTCTAGCCAGGTTCTCTCGCTAGGTTCTCCCTTTATTCTCCTGTTACATCTGTATTTATACCATTTGATTTTAATCCTATCCATTCTATTCCAAAGGTTAGGGCGTTTGTTATCTCCATTCCAAGGTCACTACTCTACTGTTCTGTTAAGCTACAAGGAAGTAACTGAAGGAGATTATCCTAAGTAAAGATTATGTAGCTTAAGCGTGATTGTTCGTAGTTAAGGTGATTAACTACCTGCCTGGCACTTAGTTAGGGGTTTTACTGATTTATTCCCTTCCTTAGTCCTGTTAATCCCCAACTCCAGGGAAAAATTCCCACCTGAGGAAACAACCTTTCTCGGAGAGGTGACCCTGGTTAAAACACATAGCGCTAAAAAGGGGAGCAAACATATTAAGAACAGTATGCCATATACGCCAGGTCCCTTGAAACATATGCTGTGCAGATGTTTCTTCCCTGCAGCGACTGTATCAAGCAGCAAGGATGGACCGGCTTCCGGCACCATACCTGTCAGCAGGTGCACTCATCCAATAGACAAGGATGTCCATGTCAGACACTCTCGCACCATGTGTACAATGGATTGGGGCACTTTTAGGTTTCTGTTGTGCCCTTCTCTGACTTTCTGCTACTGGGTTGGGGCTGCTGCCCATGCAGTGACCTGCTGATGGTGAAGAGTTGCTTGCTAAGCTCAGTGGCTTGAGTGGGCAACACTTAAGGTCCTCAAAACAAACAGGGCCTTCCCGGCCAAGGCCAATGCCCCAGTTGTGGGCTCCATGCCCAGGGGTGGCCTGTGGGAGGCAGCCAATCAGTGATTCTCTCATCTTGCTGTTTCTATCTCTCCTTCTTCCTTCCTCTCTGAGATCAGTCTATATATAAAAGCCAAAGCTACCAGCCAACTGGCCAGTAGCTATGACACACACTGACCCCCAGAGGGCAGATGCTCAATGCAGGAGCTGCTGAGCTGATGTCACTTGGCAGTGGTAGTTCTTGGGTGATGCACCCGGAACCAGAGAGGAGGGAGCCCAATTCTGGGGTGTCACCCAAGAACCACACTCTCACAATCTGGGACCCCTCAGGGGATGTCGGAGAGCCGGTTTCAACCCAATCCCCACAGACCAGGCTGAGGGACCCCACCGGTGCATGAATCTGTGCACTGGTCCTCTAGTAAAAATATATTTAAATCCTATATAATAAAAGCCTAATATGCTAAGTGTCTGGTCATCCATTCAACCAGTCAAAGCAATATGCTAATGATATGCTAAAGCCGCTCAACCGCTCACAATGACGTGCACTGACCACCAGAGGGAAGACGCTCCAATTGATAGGTGAGCTTGCTGCTGGGTTCTGGCCGATTGGGACTGAGCGAGATGGGCAGGACACATCCTGGAGCCCTCGCGCCATCCCTCCTTGTTTGGCCAACCTCCCACATCTCTCACTTGCCCTGATCATGCACCAGTGGGGTTCCTCAGTCTGGCCTGTGCCCTCTCGAAATGCAGGACCCCTCAGGGGATATCGGAGAGCCGGTTTCAGCCCAATCCCATAGGCCAGGTCGAGGGACCCCACTGGTGCACGAATTCTGGCCCCAGGACTCTAATATATCTACACTAATAAAAGAGAAACATGCAAATTGACCATACCTACGCTACGCCTTAAGCCACGCCCGACAACCAATCAGAGCGACTATATGCAAATTAACCCAACCAAGATGGCAGCCGGCAGCCACGGAACTGGAGCAAGCAGGAGGCTTGGTTGCCCCAGTGATGGAGGAAGCCAAGCTTCCCGCCCTCCCTGGCCGGCTCTGAGCTCCACTCAAGGCAACACAGTTTCAATTATAGAAGATAAATAAACCCCAGATACCTGCTTTCAGCCCGCCATGGCCACGGAGCTGGAGCGAGCAGCAGGCTTGGGTTGCCCCTGGCGATGGAGGAAGCCAAGCTTCCCGCCCTCCCTGGCTGGCTCTGAGCTCCACTCAAGGCTACAAAGTTTCAATTATAGAAGGTAAATAAATCCCAGAAAAAAAGAAAAAAAGGAGAGGCTGGGAGCTTCCGTTGCCGGGGGGCTTGGCCAGCCTGAAAACGGCCCTCAGCCCCTCACCCAGACTGGCCAGGCACCCCAGTGGGGAACCCCCACCCTAAAGGGGGTGTGGACAGCCTGAAAACAGCCATCAGCTCCTCACCCAGGCTGGCCAAACCTCCATGGGGTGAGGGTACCCACTGGAGGGGGCTTGACCAGCCTGCAAACAGCCATCAGCACCTCACCCAGGTTGGCCAGGCACCCCAGTGGGAACCCCCCACCCTGAAGGGTGTGTGACCAGCCTGCAAACAGCCATCAGCCCCTCACCCAGGCTGGCCAGTCACCCCAGTGGGGACCCCCACCCTGAAGGGGGTGTGACCAGCCTGAAAACAGCCATCAGCCCCTCACCCAGGCTGGCCAGACACCCCAGTGGGGACCCCCACCCTGAAGGGGATGTGACCAGCCTGCAAACCCTCATTAGCCCCTCACCCAGGCTGGCCAGGCACCCCAGCGGGACCCTCACCCTGATCCGGGACACCCTTCACGGCAAACCAGCCGGCCCCCACCCGTGCACCAAGCCTCTATCCTATATAATAAAAGGGTAATATGCAAATTGACCCTAACAGCAGAACGACTGGGAATGACTGGTCACTATGACACACACTGACCACCAGGGGGCAGATGCTCAATGCAGGAGCTGTCCCCTGGTGGTCACTGCGCTCCCACAGAGGGAGCTCTGCTTAGCCACAAAGCCAGGCTGATGGCTGCCAGCACAGCGGTGGTGGCGGGAGCCTCTCCTGCCTCCTCAGCAGCACTACGGATGTCCGACTGCAGCTTAGGTCTGTTCCCTGCTGGTAAGTGGACATCCCCCGAGGGCTGCCTTGCTGCCAAAGGGATGTCTGACTGCGAGCTTGGACCCGATTCCCCCAGGGAGCATGCCTAAGCCAGCAGGTGGACATCCTCTGAGGGGTCCCAGACTGCAAGAGGGCATAGGCCAGGCTGAGGGACCCCCTCCCTCGAGTGCACAAATTTTTGTGCACCGGGCCTCTAGTGTGTATGTGTGTGTGTGTGTGTGTGTGTGTGTGTGTGTGTATATATGTATATATATGTGTATATGTATATATGTATGTATATATATATATATATATATATATATATATATATATATATATATAAAGGGTAGGGCCTGACTGCTCTGTTGCTTTTTTCTAATAATGGATGTATGTGAGTGACTGTTGCAAAAAGGGTCTCTACTGGTGTTTAGGATGTGGGTTGAGCTGTGATTTGGGAGTCCCTACAGCCTCTCCAAGACACGTTAGACCTGCTAAGGGGCCACAGAGCTGCCTGTCATCATAATACTTGCTTTAAAGCCCCATGTTGTACGACACTTTGTTCAGACACCACTCAGAGACATCAGGTGTCTTCATCACCTAGGCCACTGGGTCAGCATTTCTTTTAGTGGCTGTAGGTCTCCCATCCGGGCCCTGTGTTGGTGTCACTTCTGTGCAGTTGTGTTTTTGGAAGTGAGCAGGTGCATGGAGGCCCTTCATCCTGGGGGAATGAGGGTGGATGCATGGGGCCTGTCCAGAGGATGGCATGGGGGCATCCTCACCACTCCCCTCTTCCTGTACTAGGATCGTGGACACATCCCCCAGCAGCTCCTCAAGGAGCTGCTGGGGGACAGCATGGCCCTCGAGGCTGAACAGGTCCAGAGGATGAACCAGCCCGCCCACCTGAGCTGGGAGCTGGAGCAGCAGTCAGAAGGTGGGTAGCATCCCCTGCTGCCTGGGAGCCAGGCTGGCTGCGGTGTCTCCCTCATCCAGGGAGCTGAGCCCTTGGCTCTGAATCTCATGTGTCAGCCCATCCTCACCCCAAGTGAATAGGATTTTATTCAAGGGCCATTTGGAACTGTTTCATTGCAATTCTCCCCAAGAAGAACATGAAGGGTTTGGCAGCCTTGAAGTCAGGACATGAACTACAAAGTAAGTGTTGCCAGATTGCTCAGCTCCCATGTGGACAGTCCCAGGACCTTCCAGATGACAGCATGCTGACACCCAGAGGATGTCTTAGATCTTTTCGTGGGGGATTGAAAGCTCTGGATGGCAGGAGCCTCCCCGAGTGGTCACTAACCTGCATTATAACAGGCCTGGGCTGATTTCCTCCGTTCATGTCATCATCGGGCAGATGGGTGCAGTCTGTTCTCTGTCTCCCTGGGCAGGGCCTGCTAGGTGTCTGCTTCTCAGGAGAGCCAGGCCTCTTCCTCTTTCTCTTGTGTTTGCCCCCTCACAGCCCCCAGAGGAGGTGTGGGGTTGGTCAGGGGCAGGCAGTGCACCCTGCAAACAAGTAGCCAGTCCCTGTGCTCAACAACATCACGTGCACCTGAGGGTGCAGGCGAAGGTGCGCTTAGATCTCTGCAGCGCGCAGGAGGGCCTTGGGCTGGTCTGGGGGGTGGGGGAGGTGCTGCTTTTCCAATTCTGATCAACATTCCTAAGCATCATGGAGAGGCTGTTGAGAGCAGCTGGATAGTCCTTCTCTTCAAGGGTCCCCATCAGTTCCAAACCTAAAATCAATTCATTGAACTATGAATCTGTGTGAGGAGTGGGTTCTCTCTGTGGTTTGGAGTCTCAGCACTCCTGGGACCAAGGGTGGGCACAACAGGGATCTCTGCTCTGGGAGCTCAGGTTATGGGGAGGACACTGCCCCCTGGTGGAACGCAGGAGTGGTGCCGGCTGGCAGGGACCTCTCAGACCTAATGTTTCTGTTAGAGACCAGGGAGGCTGTTGGGTTGGGAAGCCTCCCTGACTCAGGCCCTCTGTGTAGTGTGTGAGCCCTTTCAAGTCAGTGCCCATGACTACTTCTTGGTGTTCCCATGCCTGCTGCTTAGCTGGCAGCTCATGAACAAAGCGTGAATGGACTTTTGCGTGGATAGTGTGGTGGCTTCTTGAGTCAGAAAGGCCTGGCTTCAAGTCCTGGCTCCTCCACCTGTTAGCCAGGTGACCTCTTTTAAACCTCCGTTTTCTTATCTGCAAAATGGGGGTAATGAAGCTGCCTCCCAGGATTGCTATGCGTGTCTCGTGAGAGGAGACGGTGAAGCCTCACGCTGTGCCTGGCCCCCGGGGCACCAACAAAGGATGGCTGTCCTCATCGCCCTTGTTGAATGAAAAGATCCCCGTTGCTCTGGTTCTGGGGGTGCTCGTGAGCGCAGCACCCAGTAGAGAACCATTGGTTGTTTCCCAATAAACTGTTGTGTCATCTCAAGAACCTCTGAGGCGCTGGCCTTTAGGGAAGAGGAAATGAGGCTGGTCATCAGCTCCACTGCTGCCCTTGGAGATCCTTCAGGATCATTTCCAGGAGACAGAGCCGGGTGTGAGGCACTGAGTGAGACAGGAGGTGGGCGGGGTGTGTTGCAGGACAGTGGGGACCCATCTAATGCCACAGAGTCATACGCTGAAAAATAGTTAAAACCGTGAACCCAGTGTCATAGATATTTCACCCCAATCTTGTTAACATGTATTTTTTTTTACTGATTTCAGAGAGAAAGGGAGAGGGAGAGAGAGATAGAAACATCAAAGATGAAAGAGAACCGTTGATAGGCTGCCTCCTGCGCGCCCCATACTAGACATGGAGCCTGTAACCTGGGCATATGCCCTGACCTGGAATTGAACCATGACCTCCTGGTTCATAGGTTGGCACTCTACCACTGAGCCACGCTGACTGGGCTCACCCCAATTTTTAAAACTGTTATTTTTAAAGCGAAATCTGAATGAGCACAGGTTGTGACTTAGTGGAGTTTTCGGCTGTTAGTGTCGTTGGTGGCCTTGTCAGGATGAAGCCCGTGGCGTGTTTCCGTGTGTTGACAGCAGGCGTGTTTGTCTGTGGGGTGCGCTGAGCTGGAATTGGACCATGAAGGTTCATTTGCTCCACTGCTGAGCTGCCTGCTGCTTCGGATCTTCAGTCTGTTCTGGCTTCTTGGGTCTGTGCTGCTGTCCTTGGTGGGCGATGGGAACGTCCAGCTTCAGGTGCTGCGGTGACAACCGGCGTCCCCTCTAGGTCCTTCCAGCCCCGAGGGGGTGAACAGGAAGCAGGTGGGGTGCAGCCCTAGGAGCAGTGCAGTGTGATAGGCTCCCGGGTGAGGATGAGGCCCTGGAGGGACAGGTGAGGGGGTACCCTGACCCCTCATACGTTCATTTACCTAAAGTCACGCACCTGCTTGTGGCAGGAAGGGGCCGAGAACTCTGGTTCTTCTCCGGTCTGTGCTCCCTTTTCTGTTCTGCGTTCAAGCTGTTTAAAAGCAAAGGAGGAAATCTGCCTTCTTCTGTCTTTACCTTATGTTGATCTCGCTTAGACTTTCTCAAGCAATTTAGATATACTGTCTCATTCTTTCTCAATGCAATTGTGAAAGCACAAAATGAAATCTCTGTCCGAAGGCCCTGCCCAGGGATGGTAAGTACTGGGCGTACTTGCCCCAGAGCCTCTACCACCTGCAGACACACTGGTCAATTATCACCCCCCCACACACACCCTCAGCTGAGCCACCCAGACCCCCACCACTCTGAGGGCTGGCACAGAAAACGCCATCTCTTTGCCATCTCTGTTAGTCTCTGAAATCCCTGCCTTGATGGCCAGGTTAGAACTTCGTAAAAAGTGGTTCCAGCAGTTCTACTATCTTGAGGTTTTGCATTGGCCTCTCCACCGTCACCTTCTTTCTTCTTAGCTCTGGGTTGCTACCCTACCAGGCCCCAGGTGAGGCAGCAGAGGGGCCGTAACCGCCTGAGGAGCCCTCAGGTGCCGACAGCACCAGCACCCTGTGGACAACGGAGGGCACCCAGCCGACCACCCCAGGCTCTTCAGACCTAGGGCTTGGGGTGATGGTTGTCTCGGGGCCAGGGACAGAGAGTGGAAGCCCAGGCCCTGGAATCTGGGATCTGACTTGACTTTGCTCTTTAGCCTCCAGCCATATTGTAGAGTTGAAAAGAGAAAACAAGGGCACGGTACAGGAGCTGCGGGGTGCCTCCATCGCACTGCAGGAAAGCAGCATTAAGTACATGGAGCTGAAAGAGGAGAACCAGCAGCTCCGAAAGCAGGTAATGGTGGGTGGTGTCCTGAACATCCGGGCAAGCAGGTGGCCAGGTGGAGCGCCCAGGTGTCGGTGAGGATGCGCAGCTGGGAGAAATGCGGATGCAGGGCCGCCACAGTTACGGTAGCGGGACACGCGTCCTCATGGAGCAGAGTCCCGAGGCAGCATGACCTGTCCCTGCAGCAGAGTGAGCGGACTCTATGGACGTCTCTGTGCCCCTTGCCTTCATCTTCCTCTGTGAGATGGGAGTAACGATGTGCCCTGTAGGTGTTGTGGGGATCGTATGAGTTAGTGTAGGTAAAGGGTCCAAGCACATAGTAAGTGCTTCCAGAAAGGAGAGCAGCGCCCTGTTAGAAAGCACAGGGCGGGCCTGGGAGGGAAGCAGTCAGGGAAGCCACGCACGTGTGTGTAGGACCACGGATGGGCCGCTTCACGGCTGGGTCTTTGGCTCTGCAGATGGAGGAGTTGCGGTTGCAGCTATTGCAGGAAAAGGACAACAGCCAGGAGTGGGAGAGCCTCACTGAGGAGCTCGTTAAAGCCCTAGAGCAGCTGCACCATGAGGTTGACACCCTGAAGGCAGACGGAGCCCTGCAGGTAGGCTCCCAAGAGCGCAGGCCTCCCCTGGCGCCCCTGCCTGCAAGGGGGAGTGTCCAGGATCACAGCCGTGTCCTGGTCATTGATCAGTGATTCCTGGGTGACCAGTTTCCTCGTTCACCTGCAGCTCAGACCAGCAGTCCTCAGCTGCAGCAGGGGGATGGGGACAGGTATTGCCTCCCAGGGACACTGGCCATCTTGTTTTTGATTGACAGGACTTGGGGAAGGAGAGGGAAGGTGCTCCTGGCTGTGGTGCGGTGAGGCCAGGGATGCTGCTCAGTGTCCTGCAGGCCCTGGGACAGCCCCGCAGGACAAAGAATGATCCCGCTCCAAATGTCCAGCGTCACCCTGAGAACCCTGGCAAACCTCCAGGGTGGATTCGCCTGGCACTACAACAAGTGCCAGGGAAGGCAGCCCAGCGCTGGGGCAGCGGCTCAGTGATGCCACCCAGAGGCCGGGCTTCCTTCTTCCCGCTCTGCCAGCCTTGGCAGTGGCTGTTGTGCCTCCCCAGGAAGTGGGCAGGAAGGTTTTCCCTTCAGAAAAGGCCTGTTAAAGTGTTTGGTGGGGTGACACATTTGGGCTTTGCTTTAGAGTAAAGTTCACTCCGTGAAACGGACTTTCACACGGGCTGGGTCTTTGGCTCTGCAGATGTTAGAGTTGGAGAGGCAACTCCAAAAAGAAAAGGACAACAACCAGAACTTAGAGAACATCAATAAGGAGCTATTGAATGACCTAAAGCAGGTGCTCGATGCGGTAGACACCGTAGAGGCGGAGGCCCCACAGGTAGGCCCCCCAGAGCGCATGCCTTCCCTAGCACCCTTGCCTGCAAGGGGGAGCGTCCAGGATCACAGCCGTGTCTTGGTCATTGATCAGTGATTTCTGGGTGACCAGTGATTCCTGGGTGACCAGTTTCCTGGCTCAGCTGCAGCTCAGACCAGCATTTCTCACTGTGGCAAGGGGATAGGGATAGTTGTTGCCTCCCAGGGACACTCACCATCTTGTTTTTGATTGACAGGACTTGGGGGAGGAGAGGGGAGGTGCTCCTGGCTGTGCTGGGTGGATGGTTGTTCTGTTAATATCAGGGTAAATTGGTTGGTAATGTTGTTCAGATATTCTATATCCTTGCTAATTTTCTATTACTCTTTTCTTCAATAGGCTTTTCAAAGTAGTCAAAGAGAGCACCCAATGAGCTTATGCAGAGAAAGGGCATAATTTGCCCAAAAAAGGTCACATGTGTAGCACCATGTGATAGTCTGTCTGTGCTGTGGGCCCTTCTCAGTGCAGTTCCTTAAGTGCTGGTAGAACTGTCCTCAGCACAGCTGGGGTTTTCCTGCCCTGAGGGTCCCTGCTATTTTGGTGCCTTGCTCTTGGCCCCTCACTGCATGTGGGGGTGCGGGGATGCAGAGTCTGTGACTCCCGGGACCTGCACTGGTGAGGCATCATCACCTTTTCCCTCCCAGCAGCTGGACCCTTCCATTCTGGCCTCCAAGAACCAGCAGGCGGCCAAGGAGAGGGAGTGGGAGGAGCTGTACGAGCTGCTGGAGCAGCTGATTGAAGTCCATGAGGCCCTGCTGCAGGACCACGCATGCCTGGGGGTGCTCCATGACCAGCTGTCTGGGCAGTACCAGGCCCTCGTGGAGGAGCACAGCCGCCACAAGACCCTGCTGCGCGGTTCCCTGGAAATGGAGAGCAAGGTGTTCAGGCTTAGGTGGGTACCGGCAACTGTCGGGGTGACTAGCGAGCTCTCCAGGCTCAGTCCCCCTTTGCTCTGGCCCCTTGTGGTTCCTCTGGATCTGCTGCTTCACAGGAAGAGAAGTGAATGGAACGTCCCCCTCAGCGATGTGGAGTTGGTGCAGCTGGAGGCTGAGGGGCAGGAGGGTCCCCAAGGGGAGAAGGGTGTGCCCAGCTGATCCCAGCTCAGGGAAACCATGTGTCAGCATTGGGGTCCCTGCTCCCCTGGGGACTCCTGCCCCCTCTTCCTCTTCCTCTTCTCTCCAACCAAGAACAAGGAGGGGACGTTCACCACAGCTGCCGATTTACAGGAACGTGCCTTGCCAGCTTCCAGGCCTTTCCTTCCCTGTCAAAGTCTCAAAGTCTGTGCTTCTGTGTGTGTGTGTGTGTGTGTTTAACTTTTAATTTTGGAAACTTTTGAATGTATGGAAATGTACAGAATTGTATAGTGAGAGCCCCATGTACTCATCCCTGACGTCAGTACTTGAATACTCTGCCAATCTCATGTCATCTTTACCTCTGACCCTCCACCTCCATCTTTAAGGTAAAATCGATGTACATTGAAATGCACAAATCTCAACTTTGCGCTTCTGCCCGATCAGGGTTTTGTGTGCGTGTAGTCAGCCATCGTCGCCCGAGCTCCTGCTCCGGCAGATCCCGGATTGCTCCAGGTCCGGGGCAGGTGCAGCGGCATCCAGAGCCTGGGGGAGGTGTGATGTGCACGGGATTCCAACTCGAGAGACGGGAGAGATGTGGCCAAAGAGGCTCTCCCACACTTGGAGCAGCACAGGAGAGAGCTGTCTGTCGTCCACTCCCTGTGCTTGTGAGACATCCCTGCTCACAGCATTTCCCTTGATTCCTCCTCAACAAGACGCTGAGCAAATGGGGGGTCTTCAGTAGTGGAAGCAGCTGAGGTGCCGGGAGTTCCCATCACAGGGTCCCGGGAGGACACTGAGCCAGCGGAGCCTGCTGAGGGCGCCTGCTGCTGCCGTGAGCGTGGGGGCCATCACATTCGTTTATATGCTCACCCAGTGCTTCCTGTCCACTCTCCGCGGCCTTCCACCCCCTTTATCCTCTCAGGTCCCCATCCTTCAGGGGAGCCGAGACATCTGCTCCTATCAGACTCTGTTCCTTCCAGCCAGAATGAGCATCTTCTGCCTCTTGGCATCCCCCTCTCTGCCTCCTCCTGCACCCATCCCATATTCACGTGATGCTTAGTGAGCATCTACTGGGCGTGTGGTGCTGTGTCTAGATGTGGTGGGAATGCACCCAGCTGACTAATGATGGGACACTCCTGTGGTGCCCACCCCTCACCAAGCACCTACCAGCTTTATCCTTCAGGCCCTATCTATACTAATGAAAGGGTAATATGCTAATTAGTCCTTCCTGACAAAGCCGGGACTTGGGCATCCGAGGCCGGCCTAGGCAAAGCTGCTGGAGGTCCTGGGAGGCCGGCCTAGGCAAAGCTGCTGGAGGTCCTGGGCGCCAATGGATGGCCAAAGGGAGGGACAGTCAGGGGTGATCAGGCAGGCAGGCAGAGGGGTTAGGGGTGGTCAGGCAGGCAGGCAAAAGGGTTAGGGGCAATCAGGCAGGCAGGCAAAAGGGTTAGGGGCGATCAGGCAGGCAGGCAGGAGAGCGGTTAGGAGCTAGTGGTCCCAGATTGTGAGAGGGATGCCCGGATTGGAGAGGGTGCAGGCCAGGCTGAGGGACCCACCCTCCCGTGCACAAATTTTGTGCACCTGGCCTTTAGTGATTTATAATAACAGTGCCATGATATTCTTAATGTCTGCTCACATGGGGAAGGTTTGTGCAAGTAGCATCTGACTGGCTCTGAAGGAGGAATTCATTGTCACTCTGCCGGTAGCTCCTTGCTTGATAGACCTCCTGTGTCACTCGGTGGTTTTGCTGGTTGCACCGAGAGCTGGAGCCCTTGGCTGTCTGCAGCAGGGCTGCAGGGTGGGAGGTGGAGGTGTCTGGAGCACGATTCATTTCACTTGACGCCTGACTGGGACCCTCACTCCTTCGTTCCCTGGCACATGTTTCCTGGGTGTCAAGCTTCGTCCCGGAGCCTCGGGAGGGAGGCTCGCAGTCTTTGCCCTGCAGTAGGGTGGTTACCAACGGTTGGAATGTGCTTGATCCGTGTGCTTTTCCAAGACGCAACAGGGAAGCAGGAGTTGGGAACCCAAATGGTCCATGGCCACTTGTCAAAGCTGGATGGCTTTTCACAGAATCGTTTACCTGGATGAGAATGATCACCGCCCTGAAAGCCAGACAGGTCCCCCACCCCCACTGGCCACTTCCCACGTTGGGGCTGCCTCCGCCCGTGGCTGACAGCACAGGACGCTTGTCTTTCAGCAGCCGCCCAGCAGGTTTCTGAGTCTGAGTCCCCCTGAGTCTTGGCTCCTGGCAGACGGTACGAGTACAGCTGATGGGGGTGGTAGAGTGGAGGTGGAGGGCTGCAGACGGAGGCTGCAAACCCTGGAGCCCTGGGTGGTCTCTGTCAGCCTGTCTCTGGGTGTGGAGAAGTCAGGAAGGGGGTCTGGAAAGGGATTTGCCTGCGTGGGGAAGAGCGAAAGGGGATGAGTCACGAGGAGCTGCCGAGTCACCTGAACGGGAGGTTCCCGCAGGCCGGAGGGACAGCCAGGGGCTGGTCAGGGACTCCCCCTTGTTCTCTGCAGCCCTCCAGAGAGGCTGTGCGGGACCCTGTAAACACTGAGAGGGGAAGAAAATAAAAGCCCTGAGTGAGGGGGAGGGTAAGGGCTGGACTGGGGGTGCCTGGAGGAGCAGGGCGTGTGGGTGTTCACGTGCCTGTGTGCCCCTGGCCCCTGGCAGCTGCTTGGGCCCCAGCAGGCAGAACTCTGGCCCAAGGCTGCCTGGCTCAGCACAGGGAGACTCGTTCCTGAGCTGGGTGGAGGGCTCACCTGGCCCCGGTGAGGGGGGTCAGCTGTCCCGTGGGTGGAATTCCCTGAATATGTGCTGGTTTCTGTGAGAAGGGCGAGGAGTTCAGAAAACAGTGTTGGTGTTCCCAGCGGGCTAACAGAGAAGGCTGCTTACACAGGGACTGGAAGGGACCCTGGAGAAGGGTCGGGTGGGAGGAGGGACTCGGCTCCGGGGCTGGAGGAGACCCGTGTCCATCCCCGCCGCCCTCAGCTCTGCAGAGAGAAGCCGCTCACGGAGGCTGTGCAGTCTCCTGTGTGTGGGTGCCTAGCGGGTGTTTCCCTCCTCAGAGAGCAGGACCAGCGCCAACATGAGGAATCCCTGCAGGAGCTGAGGAAGCTCCTGAACACCCAGAGGGCGGCTCTGAAACAGGAGCAGGAGGCGAACACCCTGGCCGCCCAGGAGAAGGAGAGGCTGCAGCAGGAACTTGACAGGTAACCGCCTCTGCCCCCTGCAGTGGCCTCTGCCAGGTTTCATTCAGAGCAACTCACTCAGCACCCACAGAGCTAAGCTCCAGCGAGTCTTGTACCAACCCTGTCATGGTCACAGCTGGACGGTCACAAGGTAAAGGCACGCCAGCTGGTGGCTGGGAGGGGAGGACTAGTGACACTGGGATGCTGCGTGTCTAGGCTTGGTGACCTCCCCTCCCACCCTGATGATGGTGATGATTGTATTGGGCGAGGGCCCCTTCATCCTCTGACACCAGCCACCCCGTGAGGGAGAGGCGCTCGGTCCTCGGCATTCACGCATTCCCTCTTGGTGAATTCACCTCCTGGCTGAAATGCACTTGAACCCCCAAATCGGTAGCCGTAGCCTTTCATGGGCCTGTCCAGAGTGGGAGATACTGGAGTCGGCGATGGGCACATTGCAGGGGAGGCTGAACAAGACCTTTGGCTGCTGCCTTGTTTCAGCTCTCACACTGCAAACCAGTGTCCCTCTGTGGCCCATTGAGTGCCATGGAGTTCTGTTTTCGTGCTTTTTGGTGGCGATGTCGCTGTTTGAAATGGCCCCTAAGTGGAGTGCTGCAGTGCTGTCTGGTGTCCCCAAGGGCAAGTCTGCGCTGAGCCTCATGGGGAATAAAGGAGCGGCATTTGAGACTCACAGGAACCGGCGGGGACAGTTTCAGTGTCCACTAAATGAGTGTTCTCGGTGGTTTGATAGGACATTATACCGTGAACCATGAGAATTAACTGCATTATTATTATCCCTCTTTAAAAAAAACACAGATGAGGAAAGAGGCTGAGAGAGATTAAATAACTTGCTCAAGTTCATGCTCCTAGTTAGTGGCCCAGTCAGGATTCAAATCCAGGTCTTGTCTCAGCCCGAGGCACAACCATATGAAGCCTTCCTTCCCACAGCCTTGTTTTAATATGTATTGGGGGCTGCAAACTCAGGTGCCTCCAGTGGCCAGGCAGGTCCAGCCGGTGGGGAAGGAGTGTCCGCGTTAGAGCAGACCCTGGTGGGGACACACACCCTCTGAGGGCTGTCAGCTGGGAGGCAGGCCCGGGCTGCCAGGTCATTCTTTTTTAATCTTTTTTTTTTAATCCTTACCCCAGGACAATGTTTCCATTGACTTTTAGAGAGAGTGAAAGGGGGGGAAGGAGAGGGGGAGAGAGAGAGAAACATCGATGCGAGAGAGTCACATCTTTTGGATGTCTACAGCACACACCCCAACTACAATGGGGAGCAAACCCACAATCCAGGTCTGTTCCCTTGACTGAGACTTGAAGCCATGACCCTTCTGTACATGGGCTGATGCTATAACTACTGAGCCATTCCTGCCAGGGCCTTTTGTTTATGCTTTCTCCCCACCCTCTGAGAAGCTAGATACCTGAATATTAATGTGAAACTTAAAATTTTTAAATATTGATGAACTAATTAATTTAAATTGAAAAAGACAGATGATGTGGGCCAAACAGGGCAAATCTGTGTCCAAATTGAGTCCATGAGCCTCTGGTCATGTGAGCTTTCTGGTCTAAATCTTCCCCCTGAAACCTAGTCGGGCAGTTATGACGACAATGATGATGATTTCAGTGGATTTACCTAATACTCCCAAGTCTCATATTTTATTTGTCTCAGGAGTGAAATTAGAAAGGGGCTTGGAATTGGGGAGAAGAGCTGGGCATAGACATACAGATTTAGAGCAAAAATGTTCTGATTCCATGTATTTCAAAAGCATTTCAGTCGAAGAGCCCTTTGTTCCAAGTTGGCAGGTCCTTCCATGGGAAGGATTCTCACAGGGTGCTCTGCTGAAGAGGTGTCCGACCTGCCTGTCCTGTCTCCCCCAGCCCAGAGTGGGCAGCTGGGCTAACCTCATAGAACCCCAATGGACACAGTTTGAAAACCGCTGATTTTGTTCAACCCTCATTTACTCACGGGAAAAACAGAGGCCCAGAGAGGTTGTGGGTTTTTTTAAAATTTAATTTAATTTTTTAATTAAATCTTTATTATTCAGATTACATTTGTTCCTCTTCCCCCCCCCCATAACTCCCCTCCTCCCAGTTCCCGCCCCACCCTCCGCCCTCACCACCCACTGTCCTCATCCATAGGTGCACGATTTTTGTCCAGTCTCTTCCCGCATCTCCCACTCCCCTTTCCCCCACAAGAGCAGTCAGTCCATTCCCTTTCTATGTCCCTGATTCATTATAATCACCAGTTCATTCTGTACATCAGATTATTTATTCACTTGATTCTTAGATTCACTTGTTGATAGATGCATGTTTGTTGTTCATAATTTGTATCTTTACCTTTTTCTTCTTCTTCCTCTTCTTAAAGGATACCTTTCAGCGTTTCGTATAATACTGGTTTAGTGGTGATGAACTCCTTTAGCTTTTCCTTATCTGTGAAGCTCTTTATCTGACCTTCAATTCTGAATGATAGCTTTGCTGGGTAAAGTAATCTTGGTTGTAGGTTCTTGGTATTCATCACTTTGAATATTTCTTGCCATTTCCTTCTGGCCTGCAAAGTTTCTGTTGAGAAATCAGCTGACAGTCGTATGGGTCTTCCCTTGTAGGTAATTGAGTCTCTTTCTCTTGCTGCTTTTAAGATTCTCTCTTTGTCTTTTGCTCTTGGCATTTTAATGATGATGTGTCTTGGTGTGGTCCTCTTTGGATTCCTTTTGTTTGGGGTTCTCTGCGCTTCTTGGACCTGTAAGTCCATTTCTTTCACCAGGTGGGGGAAGTTTTCTGTCATTATTTCTTCAAATAGGTTTTCAATATCTTGCTGTCTCTCATCTTCTGGTACCCCTATAATTCTGATGTTGGTGCGTTTGAAACTGTCCCAGAGGCTCCTTACACTATCTTTGTATTTTCGGATTCTTTTTTCATTTTGCTTTTCCAGTTGGGTGTTTTTTGCTTCTTCGCATTTCAAATCTTTGACTTGATTCTTGCGCTCCTCTGGTCTGCTGTTGGGTGTCTGTATAATATTCTTTATTTCAGTCAGTGTATGCTTAATTTCTAGTTGGTTCTTTATCACAACATCGAGGGTCTCATTAGATTTCTTGAGGCTCTCATCAAGTTTATCAGCAGTTTCTAGCAAATTATTGAAAGCCCTCAAAAGTGCGTTTTTTAGCTCTATATCGTCCATTTCTGTCATGTTTTTTTGTCTCCGCATTTCTTATGCTTTCTTGGTGCACCCCCTTGTGGTCTTTGTGCGCAGTCTTGTTGTAGTTAAGCCTTAATTGTTGTCGGCAATACTAGGGGTGAATTGACCTCCAGGCTACCTGACTATGAGAGTCAGCTGTGTCTGCAGTGGGAGAGCTTCGGTGCTGAATCTCTAGGGCGGTGCTAATCTAGCCTTTGCCTGAGGCTATCTGGCAAATGCCTCTGTGCAGGGCTTGGGTGGGGCGGGTCCCAGGTGATCTACAGGGCGGGCGGGGCGAGCAGTTACGGCTGCTCTAAGTTCCGTCCCCAGCGGCTCTGCAACCGCTGCAAACCTCGGAGAGAAAGCTGCCTTCCCGCTTCTCCCGTTTGAGTCTGGGTCCCTAGAGACTCGCCCGGATCTGGAGCTCAGAGTCTGAAACTCCCTCCCGATTGAAAACAACAACCGTGTCCTCCGCCGCTGGCCCGGTCCACATGCACTCCGCACCTTAGTATTTCACCTCCGCACTGCGCCTCCTCTGAGTCTCGTTATGGATTTCTCTTTCCTTCTAGTTGTAGAATCTCTCCTCAGCCAGCCTTCCTGTGGTTCTGGGTGATGTCCGTTCCGTCTTTTAGTTGTATTTTTGAAGTGGTTGTTCGAGGCAGCAAACTCCGGCGTTAACCTATGCCGCCATCTTGGTTCTCTCCGAGGTTGTGGTTTTGAGTAAGGTGCACACCTGTGTCGGAGGCTGGGAGTGCCCCTCAGCCCTTGGCCATGTGACTCTCCACCCCCAGAGCCAACTTCTGGAACCGGCTGGTGAAGAGGGAGCAGGAGGAGCTGCGCACCCAGAGCAAAGACATGCAAACATCTCTCGAGAAGCTGCAGCAGGAAGTGAGGCTCTGGCAGGCCCGGTACGAAGGGGCGAAGGAGGACCTGCAGAGCATGGAAATCTCGGTGAAGAAGCTGAGCAGCCAGTGCGAGGTGAGGCCTGGGCTGGTGGCTCAGGACACCGGGCCTGTGCCCTGGGCGACAGCCTTGGCTCAGCCAGGTGGGAATGGGTCCTCATTGGCATCTGTGCTCAAAGACTTGTGTGAGTGTCACACAGAGGCCGAGAGGAAGCCAGGGACATTTGAAGGGGACAAACCCCATGACGGGAGGGGATGTGTTAGAAACACCTTTCACCAGACCTTTGCTGTTTGCAGGTCAGGGCGGCGCATGGAAAGAGACAAGTCCTGTTTCATTTCCAAACCCTCTGCTGAGCACTTAGCTCAGGGCTCACCGTGTCCTCTCATTTATTTCTCACAATGATGTTGTGAGCTGGGTTCCCATCCTCGTCCCTCTTAAGTACTGGGTTGCAACCCAGTTTGTGTGAAGCCAACGTTGCAACTTTCCTGCTACACCAACCGGGATGATATTCTAGAGCAGGAGCAGACCAACCTCAGCCCGAAATTCAAATCCAGCCGCTCCCCCTGTGTGTTTTTATGTCTGTGAAACAAGAATATTTTTTTAAATATGACTTTTTAAAAATTTTATTGATACCAGTGAGAGGAAGGGAGAGGGAGAGATGGATGGAAGCAGCCATGATGAGAGAGAATCATTGATGGGCTGCCTCCTGTAGGCCCCCTACTGGGGATCGACCCCACAACCTGGGCATGGTGCTTGACCGAGCATCTCACCAGCGACCTCTTGGTGCCTGGAAGGACACTCAACCAACTGAGCCACACCGGTCGGGAAGCTTATTAATAACACGTTCTACATTGTAAGATTGCGATTAAGGCCTCAGAATCTGTTGTGTATTTTGCACTTGTGGCACATCTCAGCTCAGACCGGCTGTGTTTTCAGTGCTTGGTGGCCACAGGAGGGCCGTGGTTGCCTGATTGGACGGTGCACTTGGCCATCCCCATGGCATTGGCTGTGTTGGTCATTCCCACTGGTGTAGATCATACCACAATGGCCCTCTTTGAGCACGTGGCCTTTTTCTTCTTTTGGGAACAGATTCCCAGCAGTGGAATCACAGGGGCGCATGGTATGTGAGACATTGCTGACCTGTGTTTTAGGTGCTCTCCAGTGTGAAGGAGAATTTGGAAGAGGAAAAAGATCACCTCAAGAGCCAGATTGACACATTGGCCAACAGGAACAGTCGGCTTATAAAGGAGATTGAGGAAAATAAACAGCACATGTAAGGGGTGTGGGCTGACCTGTCCACAAAGGGGCCCTGGCTTCCAGCCCCGCGCCTGGGCCTCGACATTCTGGGCAGAGAGCCCCCTGGCGCACTGGTGTCCCAAGGGCAAGGGGTCAGACCATCTTCCCAGCGCATCCTCCTCTCGTTTTCCTGGAACGGTTCTAGATTTCTGCAGGTAGGGGTGGTTGGCTTTTCAAAGATACTGCCCACTGCCAGATGGTTCTTAATCTGCTCTTGGAATTCAGTTCCATTTTAAAAATATGATGGCGGTAGAGTGGTGCTTAGGGAAGGAATTCAGATTGCGGGCCGAGCCCTTTCTGTGTGTTTTCCCTTAACAGGCTGGAGAGAGGGTCGTTGGTGCACCCTGGTTGTCCTCCCTCTGCCGACATGACACATTCCTGGCTTTGGCGTAGGCCCTGCGAGGTGCACAGAACCAGTGACCTGGTGGCCAGGAACTAGTAGGCGTGATGGGATGTGAGCAGAGCTGTGTGCACAGCAGACAGACGTTGAGGAGCTTCATAGAGTCCTAGAAGGAAGCGTGGTGGTGGGAGTTGGGGTGCTGCTGCTGACCCGGATGGGGACAGGGCTGGCCAGTGGGGGCAAGTGACGGTGGAGCACGGGTAGCCTGGATGCAGGGAAGGTGCAGGCAGTGGCAGGAGGGAAGGCTGCAGCAGGTGGCGCTCAGCTGTGGAAGGCGTCCATGCCCGGCTAAGGAGTTGGGTTCACTGGGAAGTGAGTGTTTATGGGAAGCTGGTCTACAGGCCCAGGAGCTGCCGAAAGGAGGGCGGGAGGAAGAGCCTTGGTGTTGGGAGCCTTGTGGTTGGAAGTCAAGTAACCCGAGATGCATCTTGTGGGTCGAGGGTGGTCTTCCCCGCTCGGTGCTGTGCTGCAGGACTGTCCTTCCTTGTGGTGAGGAATGGCTGGCCATGTGGGACAGAGGGACATGGCCACAGTGACCCCGGGGGCACTGTCCCAGCTCCCTGGGTAATGGGGCTGCTTTACTGTTCTCTTGGATTCTTCTGCTCGTCTACAGGTGGTTGCACCTACCCAGGATGGTTCACGTGGAAAGCCACACTGTAGTTTTGGGGTAGAAATGACTGTGGCCTGAAGTTGGCTCTCTGTAACGCAGCGGGTAAAAATTACCAGCAGAGGTTGGGCAGGTGCCAACTAGAAGGGTCAGGGCCTGGTACCCAGGGGGTGATCTGATGATGGTTTTGCATTAGACAGTTCTGCAGGAGGCCAGGGAGATGGCAGGCTTGCTGAGCCTGCTCCGAGCGGAGTCTTCCCCGGTCCTGGGAGGGTGGTGCCTGCCCTCCGTGAGTTTGTGCGCCTGGAGTGGAGGGTTGGTCAGAGCCAGACAGGAAAGCGCTCTAGCATAAGGCCCAGCAGCACGATTGTGGGAAGAGAACAACACAGACTAGAGGAACAGCGCCAAGGGCATTAGGAGCAGAGCAGGATCGGTGGTTCGGGGTCCAGTGGTGTGAGAGCCATCACTTTTCACGGGATGCTTACTTCACGGTGAACTCACGGAAATTTCCTCGTGTTGGTGGGACCTCGGCAGCTTCATGACTGACGGAGTCTAAGCAGCTGCCTTGACCAGGGAACTCGTTTTCCAGCCAGGAAACCAGGGTCTGAGCTGTCAGGGCCCACGGGTTTCCGACCCTGAGTTTCACATGGCTCGGGGCTTGCTCTCTGGAGACGACGTTCAGCCTGATCCTTGGTGCTTCAGCAGGTCTCCTCCACGTGTTAGGGTTCCCGGACCCACGTCACGTGCTTTCATCCCCATGTTCCCGACTCAGCAATCACAAGGCCATGAGCCCCGTGATGTCTGAGTCCCAGGAAAATGCTGGCCCTTCTGGGCCAGGTCCCAGGCTGGGCTGAGTCAATTTACGTGTTTTATTTTAAAAACCGGATTGCTTTTCTTTCTCCTCTATTTACAGAGAAGAAGGAAACTTACTGACAGTAAAAGAAGAGGAGGAAACAGTCATGGATACTGCTCCCAGGAAGTGAGTTGATTTAATGGTAGTAACTTAAGCACAGAAAGCTTGCTCTTTCACGAGTGGGGAAAGCTGTAGCATCTAGAGCGGTGACCAGTTTGTTGGGCCCGCATCTTCCCCTCCATGGCAGGTCCAGAGTAGGGTTTGTGTGAATTCACTGCAAATTGTGTTCTACCCTCTGAGCCCCACATACGAAGATCATGGTGCTGGCGAAGAGCTCCATCCTTCTGAACCCCAAATTAACGGCCACTTGCCCAGCTGGAGGGACAGTGAGGGCTGGCAGAGTCCTAAGCCTCTACTTCTAATAGGAACAAGCGCTGGATTGGAGCCAGAACCTTCATCAAATTCTTCAAACGCAAAAACAACGGTTCTGGAGAACCAGCGGAGCCGACCCCAGACAGCCCTCCCGGGCCCCCGGAGGCCACGCCATCATGCTCATACCGGATGGAAGAGCGAGATGCCCCCAGCAGACCACCTCCAGAAGGTAGGAGGGTGACCTGGCTGCAGGCGGGAAATGAAGGGGAGGACCTCAGGTCTCCCTCGTGGACAGGGCAGCACCAACGAGATGGCGTGCTGGGTGTGCACACGTGTGTAGGCGCCTGAAGGGGATGTGCTCCCCCATTAGGTATGTGAACAGCCAAGTAGAAAATATAAACCCACGTCCGTGTTGTGGCAGCTTCGTCCCAGAACAATTTAGTTCCTTTAGCACGAGAAGCCCCGCCCATCACATACAGGTGGTGGGTCCTGGAATGTCCAGAGCAGATCTCCATACAGTTACCGCAGAGAGAGCCCCAGAGGGTAAGTTTTGGGGTGTCTTTGTATCTGCCGGGCCTGGGAGAAGCCATTTCCGGAGGGAGATCCCGGTGCATTTAACACGTGATGGACACGTGCAAGGTCTTCAGCACGGCCGGGCTGAGCTTTCGGTCCCTCTGAAAAGCAGGTGCGGTTCTCTTCTCCCACCTTCCTGGCCTTGAGTCCTCCCACCAGGGGGCGCTGTACCTGGACATTTAGGGCTGTGGTCGGAGTGAGCCAGAGGTTCCGAAATGGGTTTCTAGTTGATGTGCTGCATATGTTTCATCGGATCTAAGAGGCTGGCAGTTGTAAGCTGTAGGACTGTGTGCTCATAGAAAGGAAATGAATGGGTGGTGGCAGTGACGATTTTGTCAGAATTGCCACCTAGCCGACAGTGATGCGAGAGATGCTCAAAGCTGCATCCTGACTTCAGAGATGTAAGGTTTGGGGGTGAAAACGTGCATTTTACAATCGATTAAACAAAGCCATCGTCTTAAACGTGGTTTCATTTTCAAATTCACTTTTAAATATCACTGTGTACATTATTTACCTATAAACCTGCCCAACAAGCCCCCTGAGAAAGTAAATTTTATGAAGGACACTAGGGCTTTCTGAGGACCAGGGCCCTGCCTGAGACTCGTGTGCTCTCAGCGTCTGGTGTGACAGTAGCTGACAGGGCCCAGGGCCTGTGCCAAGCCGCCTTCTGGGTGTGACGTGTGCACAAGCCTCTCCAGGTTGCAGTCACCACCTCAAGTCCCGGTGTGTCACTGGAGAGGCTAAAATGAGGTGTGCACACGCATGCCCACTGTCTGGGGACCAGTGCTTGCACCCCCAGTCTTCACAGCAGGTGAATTAGGTCAAAAGCTCACGTGCAGGTCAATGATAATGAAGCTTTCATACTGGCTCCTTACATGTTGTGACATTTACCACCTCAACTTGTGTTATTGTCTAAACTGGCTTAATGACTATAATCAGCCTAATGGAGTTGGCAAACCTTTCAGAGAAAAAAATGCTTGACTGATCCAAACTGTCGTTGGGGTCCATGAATGAGGTCAGTGGTAAATATGAGTAACGGCAGCCGTGCAATGGTGCTTCCTGGGCTCAGCACCCTTTAGGTAGTTGACCCGCTCTATCTATCGCCTTTGGTTCTAACTGCCGGGTGAGGTCGGCACCGTTCCTGTCCCTGTTCAGAGCTGGGAAAGTGAGGTTTGCCAGGGTTAAGCCCTGGCCCAGAGAATAAGTGTTGGAGCTGGCATCCGAACCCGGGTCTGACGGATAAGGGGCCTGAACTTTAACCCCTGTGAGCACTGCCTGCACTTCAAGCTGCTTTGGTCCCTGAAGATGCTGAACCCGCCTGGGGCACCAGCAGTGAGTAGTGGGTCCTTATCCTGTGGTGGGAGCTGTGGTCAGCAGGTGGCGCTGTGGGGAAAGAAGTAACCGAGGTTCCTCTATCGCAGGGGTTCTCAACCTTCCTAATGCCGCGACCCTTTAATACAGTTCCTCATGTTGTGGTGACCCCCAACCATAAAATTATTTTCGTTGCTACTTCATAACTGTAATTTTGCTACTGTTATGAATCGTAATGTAAATATCTGATATGCACGATGTATTTTCATCGTTACAAATTGAACATAATGAAAGCATAGTGATTAATCACAAAAACAATATGTAATTATATATGTGTTTTCTGATGGTCTTAGGCGACCCCTGTGAAAAGGTTGTTCGACCCCCAAAGGGGTCGCGACCCACAGGTTGAGAACCGCTGCTCTATGGACTTGAATCCTCAATCAGAAATCAGGTGAATCAGTTATGTTCATGTACATGACGTGCTCAGAAAGTTAGACCAATTGTCTGCTCTGGTCAGACTATAATTTAAAGGCCATGAGGGTAGGTTTAGAGTAGAGGATATGTAGGAATCTAAACAGGAATATTTTTTCAAAATATATTTTTTATTGATTTCAGAGAGGAATGATAAGGTAGATAGAAACATCAATAATGAGAAAGAATCATTGATTGGCTGCCTCCTGCACGCCCCCTACTGGGGATTGAGCCGCATCCTGGGCATGTGCCCTTGGCCGAAATCAAACCTAGGACCCTTGAGTCCACAGGCCTATGCTCTATCCACGGAGAGAAACCAGCTAGGGCTAAACAGGAATAATTCTTGATGTTGAGGGTGTTTTGGCATCAAAAAGAGGTAGAGCTCTAGCTATTTTGGCAGAGGTAGGTACTCTCATTATTTTCAAACTTATCCTCTCTCTCTCTCTCTGTCTCCTCCCCTATTTCCACATTCTCTCTTAAGATCAATGGAAAAAATATCCTGCAGTGAGGATTTAAGAAAAAAAGTATTAGTGAATAGTTAGGTAGACAGTTTTACTGCAGAAACATACCGTTAAGTGTTCCAAGGTCTTTGAACAGGAGCAGGAGTTAGTGTGTGTCACCAAGGTGTCAGGAAGCCTGTCATTAAAAGGGCTGAGTAAGCCCAGCTGATGCAGCTCAGTTGGTTGAGCATCGTCCCATGAACCTGGAGGTCACGGTTTGATTCCTGGTCAGGGCACGTGCCTGGGTTGCGGGCTTGATTCTCAGAGGGGACCTTCGGGAGGCAGCCGATCCATGATAGAAACAGCATTGATCTTTCTATTTCTCTCTCCCTTCCTCTCTCTGAAATCAATAAAAACGTATTTTTAAAAAAGGATGAGTAAGAAAGGGCAGGTCCTAAATTAATAAACATCTTATTTAATAATTTAGCACATTGAAACTGAAAAATGGTCTAACACATTGTCTCCTAGAGCAATATAGACTTCTCACGTGCTAAGTAAAGCATTGACACAAGGGTGCCACTGAATTAACTAAAGGGAGTCGGAGCCTAAATGATTCACCGAGTCCTGATTCTGGTTGTGCGGTGGGTGTTGTTTCCATCTCTCCTGGGCTGGACAGGATTCTGATTCCCAAGTACGGTTAGCCAATGTAGCATCGTTTGTTATTATTCAGTTCATTTATTTGCTGTTTTGTGTTGTTTTCTTTTTTCCTTCTTCTCTTGGGTAATCTGTGGATAACAATGTAGCCGCTCGGCGCAAAAAGAACAAAAAGAAGAAGACAGACAAGTCACAAGCGGCCCGCCCGGCTTTGTTGAAGCGCCTTCAGTGCTGGTCATCCTCGGACATCCCACCTCCTTCTAAATAGGCTCTCCCTTTCCCAGACACTTGAGATTCCTTTCCCTTTACCAGTTCCTCACCAAATACCCTCCCTCATTTATGAAGAAAAAAAAAAGGAAAACCACCAATGACCCGTACCGAAAGGCCAGAGGACCCATAGTGGCCCCTCCTCCTGACCCCAAAGCAGCTCCCGAGCCTTCAAACTACCAACGTGCCTCTGAGGACAACCGCCTCCTCTTCTGTCTGCCTGCGGTGCCTGGAGCGGCTGTAGAACGAGGAAAGGGGTTCCCGTGCTGCTTCCATGTATCCTGTTAGTGACAACGCTGCGCCAGCCCTAAGGGTCACACACCCATATGTGGAACTCCTGTCTGACCCTCCAGCCACTGGTATCTTTTGAACAAATGCACTTTGGCCTGGGGATGCTCACAATGCAATGACGAACCGACTTCCCAGAGGCAGCCACTGTGAGCTATGTGAGCGTGCCCCTTAGCTACTTCACCTCCATTTAAGCGTGTGTGTGCGTGTGCGGGTGAGCAGATACACACAGGCACGCACTCTCTCAGGGCTGGGCCCTCGTGGTTCAGACACTCAACTCCCTCTCCCAGAAGCCTGGTGGTCCCAGGAGAAGCCCAGACCAGCCAAACTTGACGTCCTGGGTGGACCCTGGTGTCAGGCTCACTGTTAACCCAGAGTGTTGCCAAGTCAGGCCTGGGCCCCACATCCTTCAGGCCAGGGTGGTCTTCCAGGCAGGTGGCCCCAGGCTTTGCCTCTCTCCAGCTGGCTCCTGGGCCAACCTGCTCACTTTTCTGTAAACACTGGGTCTGCCCGGCCTGGGCGATGGGGCAAGAAAAGCCTGCCCGCCCCCTCCCAGCAAGTGTCCACAGTGTGCAGAGGGGAGCGTGTGCGAGAGGCAGGTGCAGCCTGATTTGGAAAGTGGCTGCAGCGCCTCAGTGTCCGCCATCGAGCATGGGACTCTCAATTATTATTTTTGAGTGACTTCCTGGGGTAGAAACCAAGTTTAATATATGACATACATGTGTTCCCCCTCGTGAAATATATGTGCTTTGAGGTGTCCCCCAAATATATATACTACAGGGTGTCCCCCCAAATGTAAATACACTTTAACAGCTGATAACTCAATTTTCACTCCATTTCAGGGTTAACGGATTTGACGTAATGGGTGAAGCCAGACTAAGCTTTGAACAAAGGAGATATACCCTCTGGACTTCCTTCTGGGGACACACAAAGGATGAGGTGTCTGGTACAGAACGGGCCACATCCAGGCATCGAGGCCGCTGTGGACAGAGGATGCGCACAAACAGAACGCAGCGATTCTCGGTGTTTGCGATTCCATTGCTTCCTCAGCAGCAGCGCCAGAACTAAGGCGAGCGATGGAGGCGCAAACACCAAGAATCGTTCCTTCGGTTGGGTGTTTGTACGTATCTCTTTCCATAGCTGCCCTGGATTCCTCAACCGTTGTCTGTTGTCTACCGTCGACTTTTATCTTTTATGTATCCCCATAAAAAGCCTAGTGGAGAAATTTTCTTTATTTAAACTTAGTCTGGCTTCACCCATTTCTTCAAATCAGTTAAACTTGAAAAGGTGAAGATTCAGTGAATTGTCAGCTGTTAAAAGTGTGTGCACATTTTTTTGGAACTATACAATCTGTTCCATTGGGAGTCATTCTCTTCCACCAGAGTCTCACCTGTGTGTACATTTTGGGGGGGGACACCCTATATGTTCAAAAGGCAGCCATTCTTTTCCTTCAGGAGTTGATTTATTATTTCTTTTCACTGTGTGCACATTTTTTGGACCACCCTATATTTACATTCCGTAGGGAGTCATTCATGTTTGTCGGGAGTCTGACATCTGTGTACCTTCCTTGGGGGACACTCCATGTTTCCATTCTATAGGGAGTCATTCATATTTATCGAGAGTCTGACATCTGTGTAACATCCTTGGGGGACACTCCATGTTTCCATTCTATAGGGAGTCATTCATATTTATCGGGAGTCTGACATCTGTGTACCTTCCTTGGGGGACACTCCATGTTTCCATTCTATAGGGAGTCATTCATATTTATCGGGAGTCTGACATCTGTGTACCTTCCTTGGGGGACACTCCATGTTTCCATTCTATAGGGAGTCATTCATATTTATCGGGAGTCTGACATCTGTGTACCTTTCTTGGGGGACACTCCATGTTTCCATTCTATAGGGAGTCATTCATATTTATCGGGAGTCTGACATCTGTGTACCTTCCTTGGGGGACACTCCATGTTTACATTCTATAGGGAGTCATTCATATTTATCAGGAGTCTGACATCTGTGTACCTTCCTTGGGGGACACTCCATGTTTACATTCTATAGGGAGTCATTCATATTTATCGGGAGTCTGACATCTGTGTACCTTCCTTGGGGGACACTCCATGTTTACATTCTATAGGGAGTCCTTCATATTTATCGCGAGTCTGACCGCTGTGTACCTTTCTTGGGGGACACTCCATGTTTACATTCTATAGGGAGTCCTTCATATTTATCGCGAGTCTGACCGCTGTGTACCTTTCTTGGGGGACACTCCATGTTTACATTCTATAGGGAGTCATTCATATTTATCGCGAGTCTGACATCTGTGTACCTTTCTTGGGGGACACTATGTTTGTGTTCTATAGGGAGTCAGTTGTTTGCGTCGGGAGCCTCACCTGCTGCTGTGTGTGTTTGACCGGGTTCCTGACACATTTTGTTTCCTCTTGTTACTAAAAGTGCTCATCTTGGGATGTACTAAACCTGGTGATTGGGGTTTTATAAAGATTTTCTCTGTTTGAGCTAAAGTACTGAGAAATGTTAACATGGTCAATTGTCAAAGGGCTTTGGATTGTATATTAAATAGCCATTGATTCTGGAACACAAGGACGGGTTTGTAATAAAATGAGATGTTGTAGAATTGAGTTCTAGTTTTCTCACCACTTCGTCACTGGCAGCGTTTTTGGGGTGTATGGTGTTCGGGCTCCCTGCTCATCCCCCGAGGCTCCCCAGCCCCTGGAATCCACCAGCTCCCTTTGCCACGAGGTCAGAGCATGGGAAAGCGAAGTTTCCTGTTTACCATGCAAGTGTTTATTTTACGCTATTAGTTGAATCCCATTTTGATATGGGATTTGTATCACAACAGGAGCTCAGCTTAAAGTGATCCATTGGATTTTTCCAAGGCCACTCAACCAGGAAGTG